AGGCTACTTTCTACCATCTCCTTCTCTCTCCCTATTTTCTTTCTTCTGTCTTTCACTTCCACCTCCAATCTTCTTTTATTATACTAATATAGTTCTCCCTGGAAATAGTGTGCTTGGTACATGCCCATGCTTCCACAAGATGTTCCCTTCCTTCTGATTCTGCACTTTCTCACCCTCTGTCTGATGTTTATTCACTCTCCCCTCCATGCATCCCTCATAGCCCGGCTCACATCCCACCTTTCCTGCAAAGCCTTCCCAAACAGCCTTGGTAGAAATAATTGGTCACTTTTCCATGCTCTCATTGCTTCTCTGAATTTATGATGCTGATGTTGTAATGAAATTATTAAAAGGAAGATCACTGGAGACTGTAAGAGTTGAAGAAGGGGGAAGGAAACACTAAAAGCAGCTCAACAGTCAAAGACAGGTTTATTTTGGAGAATAAACTTGAGAGGGGCTTCTGGCCAAGTTAAGTCAGGAGCACTCTCTCTTATGGACTAAGAGTATTTAAGGGTTTGGGGTGGGAGAGCTTATCACAGGCTCAGAATGTTTCTATGTCTCTTTGTCTTGCTTATCTGGGAGGGAGAGTTTTTGTGTCTGTTCCTGTACATCTTCCTGCAGCTGCAGACGTACCCCCAGAGTCTGTTTTTAGCTTACCTATCTTAGTGCACCTAAAGAGAAAGGAATGTGCTTATTAGGGCCCACTGTTTTACTGGGGCCCATTGTATGAGTGTAAGTTTGGTGGTTACCCAAGAGACTTTCCCCCCTCTCTCTGTGCTCAAGCTGTCTTATCTGTGTTTTACTGTCGACTCTTTCTGGCTACTTGTTGTTAGAAGAGAAGTGATTTCTTTGAAATGCATGAGGTTAGAAAGGGAGCTGGAACTTAAAATGGTGGTGTTTGTCCAAGATGACGGTGTTCCTGCTTTGTCAGAGACAGCCTGCAAGACATCCTAGCTTAGTTACTTACTAGCTGGAAACATTTCTTAATTTCTCTGTCTCTCAGTTTTCTCTTGTATAAAATGAGATAATAGGATTATGGTGAGGACCGCATGAGTTAATGTAGGTAAAGTGCTTGAGAATACCTAACACATGGTAAGCCCTAGGAAAGCATATCCTGCTGTTATTATCACATTTTATTATGGACCATCTATTCTGTATGATTCTAAAAACAGATGGTGCACTCCTTCAGGGCAGTGATCTTGTCCATCTTTATCAAGTTAGCATAACAATAGTATCTGCTGCAAAACAGGAATTTAATAAATACCGACTGAATTACTTCTCTGGGACGCCTATGGGAAAAAGATTTGAGGATATCAGTGCTGATCTTTGGCCAAATCGATGTAGAGAAAAACATTTATATGTACTTGCTTGTCTGCCTTCTTACTTCTCCTACCAATCATAAATATCTTTCTTGAGCTAGATATTATCTCATTTCTATTACTTCCCAGGAAATTTGCTTTTGAAAGGAGAAGGTGGGATTTGAGAGGAAATTTGTTCTTTAATGGCAGAATTTCAGGGATAAAAATATATTTTGAAACCAGTGCTCTAACCACCATGACAGAGTGGCCTCCTTCATGGAAATGTTCAGGTTGACTTGCTGTGTGCATGTTGAGCTCCTCTCCATAGTAAGAATGTTAGCAAGCTCCCGGGTCTGGATCCTCTTTAGGGAATGTTGGGCGCTGTGTTGCTCCTATCATAGACTGTTGTGCCTCAGGTCTCCCGGGGCCTCCCAAACTGAGGGTTCAGAGAAGGAATTCTTGAATAAAGTGAAAAAACACATCTTGTAAATGGTTTGTTTTGTTCAAGATGTAAATATACCTGAAATAAAAGTTGTTTTTACTTTCAGACTGTTTGGGAGCAGAAGGGATGGGAGAAATCCTTGGAGATGCTAGACTTGGCTTTTCTTTGTCAAACTAATTATTTATTTTCTAAAGTGAACAGCTCAACTGAAAAGAAAAAAATATCCACTGCCATGGAAAATGTTGCTTCTAATTAAGAAAGGAGGAGGACAGAGAAATTAAAGCATAGAATGCTACCCCATAGTCTCTGTTAAGCAAGTTAGAACAGCAGAGAACATACAAGAGCTTTTCTGCTGCGACTGTGAATGACCCCAAACAGGTTTGTACAGGAAGTACAGCTTTAGAGTATATTGGAAGAACTATGGTAAATAGGTGTTTTAACTCTGGTAATAGCAAGCTACTAATTAATGATTCATTACTAAGAAGCTTTAAAAATAACTAAAATCTCAAAGGATTATACATTTGAGAATGGAATCAAAACAGTTACGTAAATTGTGATTAAAATCAGATTTAGTTAAATCAGTAATAGGAAATAGATTTTCTAATGGTGGATCAGCATTCCTTTAAAAATGGATGTGATGTTTTGTCTTTATCTGTTCACTTTGTCTTATAATGTTAATAAGAAACGTATATACCAGAGAAAAGGGAAAACGTAGTTCCATTACTACCATTCCTCTGGAATGTTGAGTTACATCTGAAACCATTTTGGGGCCAGGGAGGGGCTCTGAGATCTTCTGTCAGATTTTCCCTTGGCCAATAACAGGGCTTTTGAGATGTTCTATGAATCCAAAGAAAGCGGATTCAACAAGCTAAATGCAAATCAATATTGGGGCTCAGAGGGAGGATTGTGAGCTGCTGGATCAAGGATCATTGCCCAGATCGGGTGGGAAATCAATAACTGAAAATCAACAGCCATCTCCTTACATTGGTCAGGAAACTTCCTAACGAGAGGGGTGAAGCACAGGTGACAGAAGAAGGCATACGGTGGGTGTTTGGGGATAGAGCTTTCTTTCAAGTTCTTGCCAATTTTTGTATCCTCAGTCATCTCTCCTCCTTCCGGCAATCCGCAGTGATACAAAGATTCCAGTGCCTTCATCTATGACTCGTGTCCGTTTTTTACTGGAAGAAGACATGAAGATATGGCGCTTCTGATTTCTGCGTGGCCCTTCTTTTTTGAGTCTCCGTTGCTGTGTGCCTCTTGGTATGCCCAATCGTTTCTCACCCTGGCCTTTGCCACAGTGAGATGCCTTGCCCACTTGAGGCCTCCACCATCTACATTCTGGAGTTAAGCCCACCATTGACTCCCTTGGTTACCGTTTTCTTCATAAGAGTGTGAGAAAATATCTTTATCTTGGATGTGATGTGCTTCTTGGGCTGGCATGGATGAAGTCAAGTGCTCCTTCTTGGTTTCTTCTCTCTTCTTGGTTGGAAAGATTTCTAAGCATTTTGGAAGGAGTTTCTTAGTGTTTAAGTGTAAAAGCCTTGCATTCATATCCTGGGCCTCTCACAGTAAAATGGGAAGAATAGCACAAATATCAAAGATTGTTTTGAAGATTAAATGAGATAGTTTTATAGAGCATTTATAATAATATATGGCAAATAATTAGGGCTCTATAAATGACAATCTTCATACTACTGAACCGAAGACAGAAATTTGAGGCACAAATGAGTGAAGAGGCTACTAAGACAATTATAAACTTGACAGTTCCAAGGATACAGAGAATTCTGGAAAGAGACTTTACAATTCGAGTGTTATGTTTAGGAGTTTTTGAAAATGGGTAAAAGGAGAATATGAAGCTGAATTTATTTTAATTACATCACAGTGGATTGGGAAGCTTTCTAGTTGGAATGTTAATGACATGGTGCTTGTATTTTCGTTAGAGGGGTAAAGAGGTAAAATTATGTGTACCCTAAGTGGTTAGTACTATGAATCCAGGAAAATGCTGAGTGTCTCTGTCTTCTATGGGATTTCACATCTAATCAGTGGCTCCACAAAGCGTCTGTGTAGCTGTTTTTGAGCCAAGGTAGATAACTTTGATGCACATCAAAAAAGGAGGAGGTTGCATGAGGCCAAATGCAAGTATACATATTTTCTTTACAATTTTTTTTTGGAAGAGCAGAATTATTTGGCAGGAAACGAAATGATGCTTAGAGCTTTACCAAGTCTAGCAAGCCCAAATGAATACCCAAGAGGTAAGGGTGAGGTTCAGGTGTTAAAGAAAAGGTAGAAACACCTTTAAAGTTACGGGTAGAAAAAAAGATATATATAATGCTTTTTAATCTTACAACATACCACAGAGATCAACAAGTCCAGAAACTTGCAAACTTTTTCCAGTGGAATCTTAACTAGAAATCTAATACATATGATAAGTAAACAGGAAGTTCTCACTAACTGTATTTAACAAGGAAACCTCAGGATAAATTCACTGGAGTCTCGGGTCTCCTTGAATCAGGCTTGGAAAGTCATTTGGCCCAATCCATCAGCCTGACCTGATAAAGCTACTAAATTGTTACCACACTAATAGCTGGTAGCAAGACGGAAACAGACCCAAGTCTAGTATACTAGACACAACGCTTTTTACTTTCCTTAGGCAGTGGGGCTAAGCCAATCTGCCTAGAAATCTTTAGGCAGACTAATCAGGCATGGGGTCAGACATGGGATGAACATCCTTGCTGACAAATTCTAAGTTATTCCCTTTCCAGACATTTGGAGAGGAAACAAAAAACAAAAAACAAAAAACAAAAAACACTGCATCTTGACTCTAGTCCTTAGTTAATATGTTTTTAAAATTATATTATTCTCTCAATCAGTTGTTTAAAATCTCTTTTCTTCTTTTTATTGCCTTTCCCTATAAGTTTGTCTCACAAATAGTATGAGGGGAGTAAATTGAGAAAAGTGGCGCAAAAAAAAAAAAAATGGCACAATGGAAAATACCTTCCTTTCAGGGACAGGCAATTCTCTATAGAAGAAAGGCAAGGTAACAATAACCAAGACTATATGACTTTGAAGATAGGTGAAGAGGCAGAACCTAGATGATAAAATAAAATATGTAAAAGATAATGTATTATAGCACAGTGGTCCATACCATTCAGCACAGTGCTGAAAATTCCAAGTCATTGTCACATATGAAGATTCCAGAATGAAATATCTATGTCAAAGCAGAAGGAATTCCAGAGCCATGCACCCATTTATTATAAGGAATTCCAGAGCTCAGCACCCTGAGCTCTTACTAACTCTCAGGAACATGGCCTGTCTTGTGCAATATTGTTTTCAGGGCTGTTTTTACTTCCTCATTCCTCAAGGTGTAGATCAAAGGGTTCAGCATTGGTCCTACCAGATTCATCAGAATTTGCACCATGGTTCCCAGCATGGGGTTGGGTGTGGGCTGCAGGTAGACAGTGATGATGGGCCCATAGGCACAGAGGATGGCAATGAGGTGAGCGCTGCAGGTGGAGAAGGCACGGCGACGGCCCTCAGTTGTACGAATACTTAAGATAGAAATCGTGATTCTAGTGTAGGATAAAAGAATTAGGAGAAAGCAGACAAGAGATATGAGGCCAACGTTGGTGAAGCTCACCCTCTGGGCAAAGGATGTGTCAGCACAGGCCAAGGGCAAGAGCGCTGGAATGTCACAGAAGAAGTGATCCACTTCATTGGAACCACAGTATGGTAAGGCAAAGGTGAGGGAGGTCAAGATACTAGAATGAATGCACCCTAACAGCCACGTGCCCACAGCCAGGGCCACACAGATTCTTGGGTTCATGATGACTGTGTATCGCAGAGGATAACAGATGGCAGTGAAGCGGTCATAGGCCATCACTGTATACAAGAAGCACTCAATGCTCCCCAGGAAGTGGAAGAAGAAGAGCTGGCAGACACAGTCTTTGTAGGAGATGAGTCGACTCAGCCCCATAAGGTAGAGCAGCATTTTGGGACAAGTCACTGAGGAGAAACCCATGTCAAACACAGACAAGTTTCCCAGGAAGAAATACATAGGTGTGTGAAGGCGAGCAGAAAACATAACAGCAACAAGGATAGACACATTTCCCAGTAGAGTGCAGGCATAGAAGGGCAGGAATAAGACAAAAAGTACCATCTCCAGCCCCTCTGTGTGTGGGATTCCCAAAAGGATGAACTCTGTCACTACGGAGCAGTTCTTCACCTCCATGGAAGCCAGTCCTAGGGAAGAAAGAGGAGGCTGAGGACATGGAAGAATATCTTGGCTTGCAGTCAATCAAGTGAACATACTGGAGAAATAAAACTAGTCAATTAAGTGACTGTGATTTGCTTCTAAGTTATGGAAAGGCTTGTGATTCAAGTTACGAGGCATTATCCTTGGAATGTAAATGCCATAGCCAACTAAGTTTCTGTAGCAAATATTTTTGTTATACTTACTTGAAATACAAACGCCCATTATTAAAACAATATTCTTACAATGTAAGAGCAAATATTTTTAAAGGGAGGGCAGGATACATTCAAACACACACTCCTCCTCCCAGGGTAGAAGGATATGAAATGTCAGGATTATTTGAGGACTTTTTTTGTATCACTGGAGATATGAACCACAATTCAAGAATCATCATAGTTGTGAGACATTATTAATGATAACATTAGATTTTATGTCTATGTTTTTTAAGGGAATCATAAAGGTTGATCACTGCTTTGCATTCAAAACACTTATACAACATAATCTCCGTTCATTTAATCCCGGCAGTCACTCTTTGAGGAGGTCTACAGAAAAGATTACTTTTGAGCAGTAGGATGGCTAGGTGACTTTCCCAAATTAAGGCAGCTAGTTCATGCTGGAACTAGGCATCTACATTCTTTTTTTTTCTTTTTAAACATCAGTCTTTCCCCCGGATCTGGATGGATCCATCTGTGATAGATCATGGCATTACTGGCTTTGTCAAATCTTTTCCCAGTATTAGCCATGTTTTTCCTCTGTACATCACCAGGCTTTCAAAATGTTCTTCCTCCTCCTTCTTAGTAAGCAATGGAAAACCAATATGTTTCCAGCTACCTCCCCACAAACACACAAATATAACATCTAGGAGAGTAAATTTTTTGTGTGTTTACAATTATATTCTCAGTGCAAAGAACAGTGCCTGGCAGAGTAATTTTTCAATAAATGTTTGATGAAGGAAATAAGATAACTCACTCAATGCCGAGCAGGAATTGGATATCATTCTTCCTGTGCAAGGATTTGTGTGGTACTATCAGATAGTAATTTCTCCTCACAGTCTTCTAAAGCAACTTGATCATCTACCTGTTTCTTTTTTGCCCATTTCCTCCATATTTAGAATTTCTCTGTTTACAGTCATGTCACCTGCACTCCAGAAGATGCTCTGCACTACGTTCCAAAAGGCAATCAGACCCAAGGCAAGTGCTACATATAATCTATACTGCTTCCAAAAATGTCCTGGCTGTCATATATCAAAGAAAGAATCAAATGAAGGTATCCAAATGTAGGCTTATTTAGAGTTTCTGTTACTTTAGTAATATAAAATCAAGTCCAAATTCCTGATTATAAAGTGAAATAATAAGAATGGGGTTTGTGAGCTGATGGGCCAGGACAATGGGCTCAAAGATAAACCAAGCAAATAACATCTATTCATCTGGCTAGTAGCTCCACGCTCTGTTCATCCTGAACTCTGAGAACACTTTGTAAACTGAGGACTCCAAATTTTCCTCTCCATTGGATACACAAAGCATAAAAGAGGAGTGAAAAAATAGGTGAGGGCCCCTGTAATTTCAGCTACTCCAGAGGCTGAGGCAGGAGAATTGCTTGAACCTGGGAGGTGGAGGTTGCAGTGAGCTGAGATCGTGCCACTGCACTTCAGCCTGGCCAACAGAGTAAGACTCAGTCAAAAGAAAGAAAGAAAGAGAGAGAGAGAAACGAAGGAAGGAAGGAAGGAAGGAAGGAGAGAAAGAGGCAAAGATGGCCGTTATGTAACTTACAAAGAGAAAATATGGTCATTTAATCATCTGTTTGTATAGGATTTTTAGCCCAAATTTTCCTTTGGCATATTAGAGGTTGGAGATCTCCACCCATGATCTGGAAAGCTTTCTTCTCAGCCAAATAAACTCTGACTAAACGACATGCAGCAGTGTATGTCTCTGTCTTCTGCAAAGACATCTTCCAAGCCACTGACAGCTACACTGTTTTCTCCGACATGGAAATTTAAACATCCTTGGAGCCTTTGGGACCCCATTCCTGAATGAGTCTATTCAAGGAGGTTGTTGAGCAAAGGGAGTAATTAAAAGTGAGTAAATTGTCTAGTTGAAATAGAATATGGTGATGTTTCCCCCGTGACAGTGCTGGATAGGAACAAGAGGGAGTCAAATCTCTATTTTCTGTCTTTAAGATTGACGTAGGGAAGGAAGAAAAAAGGTGAATGGTATAGCCCAATCTTAGGACATATGGAGAAACCAGTTACCCAGTTTCAGGATCTATCATCGGAATGAGAAATAACAACCTAACAACCACATATCTAAGACTTTTTAAAATATCCAATTTTAAATATTTTAATCTCAGTTTCTTCATAGTTCTTGCCATGAACTGAATTGTGTTCCTTCAAAAATTCATGTTGAAACTCTTAACACACCCATTCCATGTAACTGTATTGGAACTAGGGCCTTTAAGAAGGTGATTAAAATTAGATGAGACAAGGGTGAAGCCCTAATGCAATAGAACTGGTATCTTTGTAAAAGGAGAGACATCAGATCTCTCTCTCTCTCTGTCTCTCTCTGTCTCTTTTTCTCTCCCTCTGTCTGTCTTTTTCTCTCCCTTTATCCCTCCATGTGAGAACACAGCAAGAAGACAGACCCATCTCTAAGCTCCAGAAACCAAACCCTGCTGCAAAACCTCTGCAACCTTGACCTTGAATTTTACAATCTGCAGAACTGTAAGAAAAAAATTCCTGTTGTTTATGTCATCTAGTATATTCTGTTTTGTTATGGCAGCCCTAGTGAACTAACAGTTCTTCTACTTTTCAGACTATGGTTCCTAATATTTTGATATGAAAATAAAATTTCTGTTCCTGGACTCCAACAAACATTTGTCAATGGGCACAGTTGACTTTCCTGAACCAGGAATAGTTCTCCTGATGATTTTCCAGAATTATATCAAAGTATTACTTAACAAACATTAATTAATAACCTATACAACCATGAACAAGACAAATTTCCTTAATCTTGACCTTCTGTTCTGTGAAAGGAGTGAAGAACCTTGCCCTTTGAGAGTCCAGACATTTGTAATCTGGAAATTATTCCTCTTTCATGTAACACAACAGTTACAGAGTTGTCAAAAAAACCCGAAAAATGTGTAAAAACCTAAAAAAAAAGAGAAAACGAAAAGAAAAGAGATCAGCAATGCTAAATTAGGCTCTTTGAAAAGACTAAGAAAATAGAGGTACTTCTTTACAAATGATTTTTGAAAAAAGTGAGAAGCCGTGTATAAACAACATGAGGAATGAAAGGATGACAGAGCACATGGATTAAGCAGGTAAAAACAGATATCACGACATTTGCCAAGATATTCAAATGATTTGTCAAAATAATTTATCAAATGCTTATTAATCTGTGAAAACTGACTAAAAATAGAAAATATGAAGAGTCGTATGCATACGTTTCTATTGCTTACTGCATAACCAATTACTCCAAACTTTTGTGGCTTAGAAACATTTATTATCTCACACTTTCTGTGACTCAGAAATCCAGGCACACCTTAACTCAGTTCCTCTGGATCAGGGTCTCTCATGAGGTTAGTCTCATGAGCTAGGGCTGCAGTCTCCACTGAAGGTTTGACAGGAGAAGGATCTGTTTCTAAGCTTACTCACATGGCTACTGGCAGACTTGGCCCTGTCCACAGAGCTGTGTCACAACATGGGAGCTGGCTTCTCCCGAGGCAACCAAGTCAAGAGACAGTAAGATAGAGCCAGTGAACCCAAGATGGAAGGCACCACCTTTTGTGATCTAATCTCTGAAATGATACTTCATCACCTCTACTCACTAGAACCACATTCTATTCACTAGAACCAAGTCACTAAATCAGGGCAGGTGATTACACAAAGCATGAATCTTAGAAGGTGGGAGTCACCAGGGGCCATGTGAGAGGCATTGTAGGACAGTGGGGGAATGATAAACTGTTAAATAAGTGATCCTGGGACAATTGGCTACTTGTGTTTTTTAAAAGTAGAAGGGAATTGAATTCTTACCTCAGTCATGAGCAAGAACCAATTCCAGGAGGATTAAAGATTTAAAAGAGAAAAAAAAGTAAAAAATTAAAGAAAAATTAAAGGTAATATGTTATTTCTAAGTAAGATACAATAATCTTTAGTCATAAAAGAAAGTTTTGGTAAGTCACATTAAAGGAAGTCATTGATTTTATTAAAAAATGGCTTAAAGCTAATGAAAAGAGAAACTGCAAACTAGGAGAAGATATTTGCAGGACACCTTACCAAGAAAAGATTAGTATCCAGAATACATGTAGAATCACTATGAATCAATTTTATAAAAGTCCAAATACTCAAAAGAAAATGAACTAAAAATAGCATAAATTTTCCAAAGGAGGAAACCTAAATTGTCATTAAACATATTAGAAAATGCTTAACTTTACCAGTAATCAGGGACTAAATTTTACAATGCAATATATACATTTACATACCATCAGATTGACAGATGTTAAGAAGGATGTCAATATAAAGTGTTGAAGAATAGAATGTGCTATGAAATATTATCCACTGTGGGAGTGAGTGTATTTGTCATAATCATTTCATTCTGGAAATCTCTTTGGCAGTCCACTCCTAAATACATCTTTTTAGAGAACCTTTTGAAGTGGTGCCCCAGTGTTGTGCAGAAAAATGTTTAAAACAGTAATTACAAATCACCCACATGTCTGTCAACCACAGACCAAATAAATATATAAAGATGTAAAATTATAGCTATATACATCAAAGTGAATGAATCTCAAAAGCAAGTTTGAAAAGAAAAAAAGGATTATGTTTGAGCATATTTAAACAAATTTCAAAACCAGAAAAAAACTAAATACTATCTTGTTTGGGAATGCATACATAGGTGGTAAATAAATAAAAGAAAGAAATTTCCTTAACAAAAATTCAGATTGCTGTTAACTTCTGGGAGGATAGGACTAACAGAAATACACAGAAAGAATGTCTAGATTATATTCTATTTCCTGTACTGGCTATAAGGAATACA